GGGTGCCGGGCCAGCCGTGGGCTGGTGTCCCAGGTGACACTGGCAGGGGCCAGCAGACCAGTTGCCGCCGCACGCTGGCTGCTTGCCACCTGCTGGAGAAGCCCCGCTGCCCCGGCCTCTTCTGCAGGAACCTGGCCTTGGCCTGCTGGCGGGCTCTCTGTGAGCCAGGGACAGAGAGCAGGGAGCTGTCAGCTCATCACTCTATGGGATCCCCGGATCAGACTGTGGCAGGATGCCACCAGGCCCCTAAAGTGCTGTTTCTGCACCCCAATGACCCCTCGCTCTGGTGCCCAGGGTTGCAGTGCTGCCTGCCTGCCCTCCTGCCCACCCTGGTTGAGCGTGTGCCTGTCTCCCAGCAGGATGGAGGACACACAGCTTGCCCTGCCACCACACAGCTCGCCTCCTACCTGGCCCTTTTCTGCGTCGTCACCCTGGTAGCATTTGGGGCACTCCCAGCAGTTGGGGAGCTCGTCATTGAGCAGCCCTTCCCCATCCATCTGCAAGGAGAAGAGGACAGTCAGGGGCAGCCTTTCCCCACAGCCAAGGCCCCCTGGCCCTTCGGCCCGTGCTGCTCACCTGCAGGCAGCCAGGGTGCACAATCTCATTGCAGATACAGCACTCCATGAGCTTCTTCTCAAAGTCCTGCGAGTCCTCATTCTGATCCACCTCCCCACAAAGTGCACACGTGACCGAGTGAGGCAGCCTGGGCTACAAAGGAAAGCAGGAGTGAAACCAGGCCAAGGTGGGACGACCCTTCTCACTTTCCTCCTCCACCTCCCCGTTGCCTGAATCCCCAGGAATCGAACTCGGTGGTTGCTTGACCCTGATGGGCCAGAGAGAGAAGTCCCTGCCAGGCTTCTGAGAAAAGGCCCAGGCTGTGGACTCACCGCCAAGCACTGCCGGAGGACGCAGGACTGCTTCATGCGGCCAGGTCCCCCAAACTTCTTCATGTCCCTGCAGTAGTGGCACATGCCACACTCTCCCTGCATGCAGGCCTTGCATTTCCGGCACCGCACCCGCCTCCGCCTGGCGCCGGACACGATGGGGGACACCGTGGACCTGACGGGGGTCGGGCGGGGGGCTGGCTTCATGGTGTGTGGCTTGGTGATGGGGATGGTGGGCAGGCGTACCCTCAGCCGGGCCTGGAGCTTTAGCTGGGGACAGAAATAAGGAGAGAGAGAGAGGGAAGTGGTGTGAGATGACAATGCTGTGTTCAGCTCGGATCAGAAAGCTTCTGAGCCCCAGGCTCGCTCCCTGCTGCCTCAGCCCTCTGGAGACACGAGAGTCTGGAGGGACACTGCCCCAGCAGTTCTCCTCCTGCACACTCTGTTGTCCTCACCCCACACAAAGAGCTCTCCCTTCTTCCCATTGCCAGCCATCAGGAGTCAGAAATGGGTCTGAAAAGGGCTGCTAAGTCCCAAAAGCGTCATGGTGCTCCAACAGGAGCCGCTCTTGCCTTCCGAGGTGAGGGCTGTCACCTCGCTGTCCCTCTGCCAGCTGTGCAAGAGGACAGGACTTAGTTCCAACCTGAGTGCTCTGGTCACCCTTTTCCACAAGCTCCAGGTGTGCTGGGAACATGCAAGCATCCCTGTTTACAACACAGGTGCAAAAAACGCAGCACAAGGACGGGGTCAGGGATGTGCCAGGCATCTGAGCGCTGCATCCAAAGCCTGAAGACATCTCCAGGTCCCTTCTCCCAGAAAATCTGCCTGAGATGCTTGTGCTGCTCAAGGATCAGCAAGTCACAGTGGATCCCCCTGGGCAGGACAGGCAGAGACCTGCACCTCCGAAGGGCAATCCAAGAGGCTTGTTTGTCTCCAGACACCCACATGGGGTGCTACCCACTCTTCCCAGTGGAATGGGGTCCTGCTCTTCCCACATGCCTGCCTCCTGGCAGGAAGGAAGCAGTGACCTACAGGAGCCATCCTGCTGGGCTGTGGGGAGGCAGCCTGTGAAGGGGAATTCCAGCTGCTCCTCACCTCCATCTGCCTAGTGAGCTCAGCCCAGGCCATGGCATAGCTTTGGGCCCTGGGTTATGGGCACAGCTGGAGAGGGAAGGGCAGGGACACACCAAAAGGGCTCTTTTCAGAAGATGGCTGCTATCTGCAGGTAGAGACCCCCAGGAGGGAAGCTGGTGTCGTTGGGGTTGCAAGAGCCAACTCTAGAGCACGGGAAGGGTTTGTCCCCAGTGCTGCAGACGTGGTTGTATCCCACGGCTGTCCCTGTCCTGCTCCTTTTGTGCCTGTTGAGGCCAGTATGGAAGTGATGCCACCACATCCCAATTGCAGACTCAGCCAAGGGCAGCTCACCAGCTCAACCATCCACAATACCCACCCAGGTCCCCTCCTCATAAGCTCCTACCTTGTCTCTCTTGGGCCACTGGACGATGGGGACGCCTGTAAGTGCCAGTTTGGGATCGCTGTTGGCGTATTCTTCTAGCAGCAGCTAATGGAGAGAGAGGCGGGGGGGGG